CCGGTCTCGGGTCCGTGGGGTGCAGGGCTGACCCCGCCCCGCCCCAGCCCCACGGCCCCCCGAGCAGATGGGGGACGCTGGGCCAAGCTCCCGCCGGCCGCTCGGGAGGCCGGGATCGGAGGACCGCGGTTCGAAGCCAGCCCGAGCAGAAAAGCCCGCGAGACTCTGATCTCCAATGGACCGGCAAAAAGCCAGAGGTGGGGGCGCGACCCAAGGGGTGGAGCGCCAGCCCCGAGCGAGAAAGCTCAGGGACTGGGCCCGAGGCCTGAGCTCAAGTCCCTGGACCTGCAGACACAGACACACAGACAGACACACAGGCATGCACGTGTGCGTACACACACATACACATATGTGCACGTACACACCGACGCATGCATGCATGGACACAGAGAGACAGACACGCAGGCATGCATGTGTGCGTACACATACACACACGTATGTACATGTACAGACACATGCATGCACACAGGAGGTAGACGCATGTATGCAGACACACAGACAGACAGACACAGGCATGCATGTGTACTACACATACACGTATACACATATATACACAGACGCATGCATGCATGCACACACGAGGTAGACGCATGCACACACACACACACACTGAGGTAAACGGAAGGATGGGAAGGCCTCACTCTAACATCGACCGTACACCTCTCTCTTCCATTCTGGTCCTGCTACAATGAATTCCCTCAAAAACAACCCAAATGATCTTTAGAAACCAGTGGATCAGGTCCCAGGTGTAGTACCAGACTCCCAAGCTTCTCTGGCTTCTCTATTTCTAGATTTCCACGCCGCAGCCGCAGTGGCCCTGATCCTTTTCCTACAAGGAGCCAGGCGGAACCTTCCTCAGGGACTTCGTATTGGCTGTTCCCTCAATCCGGAACAATTTTCCCAATCACTCACCCTTCCCCTCAGGTCTCACTTAGAGCCAAAGTCTCCTTGGGAGGATTTCCCTAATCTGTCTCCCTCCCCTACATCACCCTGACCTGAAATCAGACATGTAGAAGATGCCATACTCCTGTTTTATTGTTGTCAGTCGTGGGGCTTGAACTCTGGGCCTGGACACCATCCATGAGCTATTCAGATCAAGGCTGGTGCTCTACCACTTGAGCCACAGCACCACTTCCGGTTTTCTGGTGGTTCACTGGAGATGAGAGTCTCACAGACTTTCCTACCAGGGCTGGCTTTGAACCATGAGCCTCAGATCTCAGCTTCCTGAGTAGCTGGGATGACAGGCAGGAGCCACAGGTACACAGTGGCTGTTTTCTTATTCTTCCTGACCTCTAAATGCTCTAGCCTCTTAAGGCCTTGCCTTTCGCCTCCATGTTTCAATGTTCTGTTCAGTGATCTCATCCAGTCTCAGGATTTCAATGTTATGGAAATGTCAGTGAGCCCCAAATTGATATCCAGAGGGCTTGACTCCCCCATCCAACTGCATGCACTGCACGTGAGCAAAGGTAACACGTTAGAAGTAGACATTATGAATGTCTCCAGCATAATCGATTGCTCTCCTGGTGTTCCCCATCCTGGCCACAATAACACCTGGTTATTCAGACTAAAAACCTTTAACTGGACCCTGGCAGCTCCTGCCTGTCATCCCAGCCACTCAGGAAGCTGAGATCTGAGGTCAAGAGTTTGAAACCCAGCCCAGGCCGGAGAGGTTTTAAGATTTATTTCCAGTGAACCACCAAAAAGCCAGAGTGGAGGTATGGTTCAAGTTGGTAGAGCGCTAGCCTTGAGCACAAAAACCTCAAGGACAGCACCGAGGCCCTGAGTTCAAGCCCACAAACAGCTTAATAGTCAAGTTGTATTGTCTTTGGAGACTCATTTTGTAGACTCAGTTTACCTTTGTTTATGCTCTCCTTCTCTACACTGAAGAGCAGACAGTGGCGTTTGTCTTGCTTACCCTGGATCCTAACTCCTACCCCAGTGCCTTTGCATATGTCAGCCGCTCCCTAGTCATGATCTTCATGGCTTAGTGACCTTGGTGGGAGACTCCTGCCTGCTCTGAACTCTTCGTTCTCTTTGACTTGTCCCTTTGCCTTTCCTCTCT